CGGCCCGGCCCGGCCCCACGCGGCCCCCGCGCGCCCCCACCCCCCCCTCGCTCGCTCACCCGCCGCGCGGGGGGGGGGGGGGGGTCGAAGATCTCGCGAGACCTGCCGCGAGCCTCCGCGGGAATTTTCAAATACGCGGGACACGGCCCCGGGCGGTGGCGGCGGCCGCCTCCGGACTACTAGTCCCGGCGTGCTGCGCGCCAGCAGCTTCCTCTTTCGCCCCGCCCTTTCCTGGGCTCATTTCTCGCGGGGCACGCCGGGAGCTGTAGTTCCTGGGCCGGCAGAACCACGAGCCCTGCGGAGCCCCTTCCCGGCCCATGGCCCCTCACCTCGTGGGGAAGGGTCTGCTCCCCTGCCCCGCCAACGGGGAAACTGCCGCCCCTGCCTATCTGTGTCCCTCTCATTGCAGGAACAGCTCACTCTATTCTCCCCATTCCTCCCTCCGCGTCCCCCGGTCTATGTGGATTTCATATAATCACAGAATCAGAGGATGGTTTGGTTTGGAAGAGACCTTAAAATCATCCAGTTCGAACTGCTGTCAGGGGACAGGAACAGCTTCCACTACACCAGGTTGCTCAATGCCCCTTCCAACCTGACCTTGAAAGCTTCCAGGGATGAGACATCCACAACTTCTCTGGGCAACCTATGCCAGTGCCTCACTACCTACCACAGCAGAGAACTTCTTCCTAATAGCTAATATAAATCTATTAGTTTGGATTCATTCCCCCTTGTCGTGTCACTACATGCAAAAACCCCCTCCCTGTCTTTCTTGTAGGCTCCATTCAGGTACTGGAAGGCTGCAATTAGGTCACCCATTTAAAGGGATTTAAAAGGGGTGGGCTATTAATCACAGTTTTCCTCTTACTTTTAATGACAAAGTATATATAAAAACCCAACACAGTTAACATAAAATTAAGGTTATACTATTAGTCACTGAAAGGAGAAAAAGTAAGTATTAAGTCAAAAGTGCAAGTCTAATGCTATTCCTTTCAGTTTGTATATTGTAAACCGTTCAAAACACTCTTTGACATTAAAAAAAATTTAAACATTTTCAGGTATTAATAAACAAATTGGTCTAGTGGAAGGTACTCATGCCTATGGCAGGGGGGTTGGAACTAGATGATCTTTAAGGTCCCTTCCAACCCAAACCATTCTATGATTCTGTGAAATCTGCAATGCTTCTTAGAAGTGGCATCATCATCAAAGGAGTGACAAAGGCGTTCAGTTTCTCCCAGCATACATTATCTCTAAATTACAACTGTGCCTCTTAATGTTGTCTGACATTTTTTATATTATTATGCAAATGTTTATTGTGACTTGGTGGCTGCTGTTGCCATTTTATATCTATTAATTTGTAGCATATAAGAGCATGGACAAGGAACCCACTACACCAGGCAATTGCTCCTGGCCTAAGGGGGAGGTTGTGCACACAGTCACGAGATGTCAGTGAGACAGCAATACCTGCACAGAAGGAGACCTAATCCTGGTCACCAGCTGATGGGTGATGTCAGAGCTCACTCTGTTACACATGAGGGGCTGTGCATGAGACGGACAAATCTGGGTTGGACTACAGAAGGTCTTGAAAGTGAGGACAAGCATCTCTCATCTGATGTGACAGGGAGCTAAGGAAGAAATGCAAATATAGGCATGGCAGCACAGGAGGACCAGCTAGACCCATATCCTTTGCCAAGATACTTAAAGTGATTATGTGCAGGACAGGGCTGCATTTATTAAGGGCGGGACAAATGCTTTGGCAGTAAGGAAAATTCAAAGTGGCAATTCGGTGTGGATGAGAGCCTTAGCTCCATGGATGGAGACAGAAAGGCTTTGTATCAGGAATTATTTATAGAACAATCCTTGGAAGGCTCAGGCTTGACCTGAATAAGGACACAGGAAGAGGTTTGGACCAAAGATGTCCCCCAAATTGTAGGTATACATGATCACTGGCCTAAAGAGCAGCTGAGGAGCAGCAGGATGAAGTGGGTTGGTTTAGCCGAGCTTGAGCTTGAACTGACAGCAAGGCTTGTCTGAGCAGGCATCAGAGAGGTGGGCAACGATGTGTTTCAAAAGAAGGTCTGCAACTCATCTTGCTCAGTTTTAAGTGTTTATGATGCCATTCATGACCATCAGAGCTGCTCAGATGGACTCCCTTTTTAGGTGGGAAAGGAAACAGGTTTTTCCTGGGTGCCATTCATCTGGCTGGCTTTAGATACCTCCTATAGGATTAGCTGTAAAGGGAGCTTAGGTGGTACTGTAGGTAGAGACACCTACACTGTACCCTTTTATTTTTGGTTAAGTTGATCTCACTTTTACATGTTGATCTGAATAAAGCACTGGATCTTTAAGTTGTTCAGCACGTGAATTTATGTTTGTGGTTGGGATTATACAGAGATAAGGTATAGAAGAGAAAGAGGACAAGTGCAGAGCTTTATACC